CTGCTGCAGCAGCTGCTGCTGCAGCAGCTGCTGCTGCAGCAGCTGCTGCTGCAGCAGCTGCTGCTGCAGCTGCTGCTGCAGCTGCTGCTGTTTGGGTTACTGCTGCCGGCGTTTTTGCTGCTGCTGCTTGCTGCAGGAGCAGTTTCAGAGCATTTTCATTTGTGTTCCGCTAGGCGTCTACGGCTTACATGTTAGGGGTTAGAGTCCAGGATTTAGGGTTTAGGGTTTAGGGTTTAGGGTTTAGGGTTTAGGGTTTAGGGTTTAGGGTTTGTTTGCAGGTTGAGGTTTTCCTCCTCAGCCCGCAGCACTCGACTACAGTTTTGGCAGTCCCTTTTGAAATGCCTTTATCTCTTTTTCTTTCTTGCTTCGTGGTGGTGGTTGCGGGCCCAGCTGCTGCTGCTGCTGCTGCTGCTGCTGCTGCTACTGCTGCTGCTGCTGCAGCAGCAAGCGAGGGCACAGCAGCAACTGCTGGTGTTGCTGCCTTCACAGTGGACGGAGAGCCACTAGCAGGAGACACAAAGATGGGGGAAGCAGCAGCAAGCGGCATTTTGGTGAAGGTCAGTAGCTGCTGCTGCTGCTGCTGCTGTTGCTGTTGCTGCTGCTGCTGCTGTTACTGTTGCTGTTGCTGCTGCTGTTGCTGTTGCTGCTGCTGCTGCGGCTGCTGCTGCTGTTGCTGCTGCTGCTGGCGTCGAATCTGCGCCCGGAGCTCTGTGCGTCTCGTTTCTGCTGCTGCTGCTCCTCTTCTGCGTAGTCCCTGAACCCCAAACCCTAAACCCTGAACCCTAAACCCTAAACCCTAGTTGTCGTTGCTCAGGCGCCGCGGGCCCCGGGTTTGGAGAGTTTGCTGCTGTCGCTGGACAAGACTTTGCTGTTTTGTTTGTGCTGCGAAAAAGACAAGAAGCAAAACAAAGTTCCAAGAGAAGAAATGGGCAGCAGCAGCAGCAGCAGCAGCAGCAGCAGCAGCAGCAGCAGCAGCAAAAGAGAAAAAGCCCAAGTCGTCTCTTCTGCTCTCAGCTTTAGGGTTTGCCAAAAAGGGTTTGCAGAGACGGAGTTCGGACTCCCCCCGCACTTAGTGCTCAGAAACGCAGGTCTGCTGCTGCTGCTGCTGCTGCCGCTGCTGCTGCTGCCGCTGCTGCTGCTGCTGCTGCTGCTGCGCGTGCTCTTCTGCTGCTTCGCTGCTGCTGCCACTGCTGCTCCTCTGCTACTTGCGTTCCTGCTGCTGCTGTCGCTGCTGGTCTGCGTGCGAGCTGCGCCGCTGCCTTCGTGCCCGCAGCTGCAGCAGCAGCAGCAGCAGCTGCTGCTGCTGCTGCTGCTGCTGCTGCGAGCTACACAGCTTGCGTCTTTGGAAGTTGGAGTGTATGTACAGCGCAGCTCAAGGAAAACACCACTTCAGTGGATTTGCAAAAAGACAAAAAGTTAATTAACATTTGCAAACAAGGAGAAGTGCGAGTGGCTGGAGTGCCGCGAGACGCGCCGGGGTGCCTAAACCCTAAACCCTAAACCCTAAACCCTAAACCCTAAACCCTAAACCCTAAACCCTAAGGCGTACGCTATGGAGACAAAGAGAGTGGACAGCAAATTCGAGGAGCTGCGCCAGGCAAAGTCGATGCATTCGAGCCACCCGTAAATTTGCCCAGCCGCGCGTTTGGGGTTTAGGGTTTAGGGTTTAGGGTTTAGGGTTTAGGGTTTGCGTCTGTTGTTTCAGGACTTCGCTGCGTTCATTCCTCTTGTCTGCTGCTGGCCTGTCTCCTTCTGCGGGTTCTTCTTTTGGCATTTGTGTCTCTGTGGACAACTCCAAGTGTCTCTTCTTAGACTGGGACGAGCAGCAGCAGCAGCAGCAGCAGCAGCAGGAAGAAGCAGCAGCAGCAGCAGATAGCAGCAGCAGCAGCAGGGGAGGGGCCCTGGGGCTCACACAACGGCTGCTGCTTGCTGCAGCCCAAGGCAACACCGTTTACGTCTTTAAATGGGTCAGGCACAGGCTGCTGCTGCTGCTGCCGCTGCTGCTGCTGCTGCTGCTGCTGCTGTTCCTGTGGATGCTGCTGCTCTTGTTGTTGCTGCTGCTGCTGCTAATGCTGCTGCTGCTAATGCTTATGCTAGTGCTGCTGCTGCTGCTACGACTACAGCTGCTGCTAATGCTGCTGCTGCTGCTACTACTACAGCTGCTGCTAATGCTGCTGCTGCTGCTGCTGTTGCTGCTTGCTGCTGCAGCCTGGAGTGCCTTTACCTGTCTCCTCACTGTCTCCTTTGGTGCACCAGCACCTGCACTACTTAGCAGGCCCTTCTGCTGCAGCAGCAGCAGCTGCTGCTGCAGAAGCTGCTGCTGCTGCTGCCCCGTCGTCTCTTGTCTCCCTCACTTTGCGTGTCGACGTCCCCACAATGCCGCAGCAGCACAGCAGCAGCAGCAGCAGCAGCAGCAGCAGCAGCAGCAGCATAGAGGTGGAGGGCGTGCCGCTCAGCATGCTGCAGGAAGAGTTTGTGTGGCGCTTCGCGTGGCAGCGCATGCACTTTCCCTATTTGGAACCTTCTAGAGATTTGAAGCTTTGTTACGAGCTGCTGCCTGCTGCTGCTGCTGCTGCTGCTGCTGCTGCTGCTGGCGGGGGCTCCGGTGCAGCAGCAGCAGCAGCAGCAGCAGCAGGGAGCGAGCAGGGGCCGGGGGGCGCGCGCTCGGGGAGCGCGACGGCCGCAGCAGCGGGCGCAGCAGCAACTGTGGCGGCAGCAGCAGCAGCAGCAGCAGCAGCAGCAGCAGCAGCAGCAGCAGCAGGCAGCAGGCCCTGCGCGAGCCTGCGGCCCGGCAGCGCCGTGGGCGAGCTGCTGCTGGCAGCAAAAGAAACTGGCGGGCTGCTGCTGCTGCTGCAGCAGCAGACTGAGGAGACACCCCAGCTGCATGCACCCCACACGCATACACCCCAGCTGCATGCACCCCACACGCATACACCCCAAGTGCATGCACCCCACAAAGACACTTGGGAAGCTCTTCAAAAGGAGACACTGCAGCAGCAGCAGCAGCAGCAGCAGCAGCAGCAGCAAACGGAAAAGGAGACACTTCAGAGAGACAAGCAGCAGCTGCCAAAGGCCTTTTTGTTTCCCCCCAGACTCCGTTTGCTGCAGCAAGTGGTGGCGGTGAGCAGCAGCAAAAAGTTCAAAAAAAATTCAAAAAAATTCAAAAAAAAGTTCAAGACTTAATTAAACACTTTTGGACATTTAAAAGATTTAAGGGACTGTTGCTGCTGCTGCTGCTGCTGCTGCTGCTGCAGCCAGTGCTGCTGCTGCTTTTACTATTTTTTATCCTGCTGCGCTTGCTGCTGCTGCTGCTGCTACCAGCGCCACAACGACTGCTGCTCCTTCCACTGCTGCAACCACTGTTACCGCCGCTGCTGCTGCTGCTGCTGCTGCTGCTGCTGCTGCTGCTGCAGGTGACCATTGGTCTGCCGAGCGGGGGCGAGTTCTCCGTGGTGAATGTGCCCGCAGCAGCAGAAGCTGGGCTGCTGCTGCAGTTCATTAGAGAGACTGTGGGGCGCAGCAGCAGCAGCAGCAAAAGGAGACTGGTGAAGCTGCCCACGGGGGTGACCCCACAAGCCCTGGGGCTGGTTGCTGCTACTGGCTGGGATCCGATCCCAGAGGAGACGCCTGTGTGGCTGCTGCGCTGCGGCGCAGCAGCAGCAGCAGCAGCAGCAGCAGCAGAAACAGCCGCGGCGGAGGCAGCAGCAGCGGCAGCCCACGCAGCAGCAGAACGCGACCTGCCAGACCCCACAAAAGGGCCCCCGGAAGCAGCAGCAGCCGCAGCAGCAGCAGCAGCAGCAGCAGCAGCAGCACAGACACACAGCAGCAGCAAACTAGTTGAAAGGGCCTGCCGGCACAGAGACACGCCGGTGCTGCTGCAGTTCAAGGTGAGGAGATTAAGGAGACAGCAGAAATAAATAAATAAAATTAAAAATATTAATTTAAATTATTTTAAATTATTTGGATTATTTAAATTATTTAAATTAATTAAATTAAAAAAATAAAAGAGAAAAGGAGACACGCGAGAGATGGTCAAGCAGGCCCCGCGGGCGGCTTGCTGCTGCGCGCAATAATGCGCAGCAGCAGCAGCAGCAGCAGCAGCAGCAGCAGCAATGGGCAGCAGCAACTGCAGCAGCAGCAACTAACAGCACCAACTAGTAGCACAAGCCTTAGCAGCAGCAGCAGCAGCCACAGCACGAGCCGCAACCAGCAGCAGCAGCAGCGTTAGCACCAACAGCAGCAGCAGCAGCACCTGCAGCAGCAGCAGCAGCAGCAGCAGCAGACTTTCTGTGTTTGCTGCTGCTGCTGCTGCTGCTGCTGCTGCAGTTCAGGCCTTTGGAAAGCCCCGAATTTCTGCTGCGCATGCAGCCGCTGCGGGGCCTCGTGCTGGACTTTGCTGGGGGGGCTGTGAGTCCTGGATTAGTTGAAGAAGAAAAGCAAAAATAAATAAAAATAAATAAAAATAAATAAAAATAAATAAAATAAATAAAATAAATAAAATAAAATTTAAATTTAAAAGATAAATTCGCATTCTTCAAGACACTTTTCCATTCTTAAATAAAACTCCCGAAACCAAGCAGCAGCTCTCGCCGCAATAAAAACAACGCAGCTAAACGGCAACTCACAGCAGCAGCAGCAGCAGCAGCAGCCGCAGCAGCAGCAGCAGCAGCAGCAGCAGCAGCAGCAGCAGCGGACTCAGGTGCATCTGCAGCAAATCGACTCCACTGGACTCAAAACCACCCCGTCTAATGAGCAGCTGCACATCACCTTGAGGGGCCCCCGAGAGGCCCTTAAAACATTCCTGGAGCCCCGGGGGCCCCCGGGGCCCCGGGGGCCCCCGGGGCCCCGGGGGCCCCCGGGGCCCCGGATTCCCCTAGGGTACGGGGGGCCCCTAGGTACCGGGGGCCCCAGGGGCCCCCCGGGGGGCCCCTGGGGCCCCCTGGGGGGCCCCTGGGGCCCCCTGGGACTCATAAGGGTCCTGGTTGTCGACCTTGTTCATGTAGCTTCGTTAGGGTCTTCATGAGGCCCCTCTGGGGCCCTTTTGAGGCCCCTTTGGGACCCCCTTGGGGCCCCCTTGGGGCCCCCTTGGCTTATCCCTGGGGACCCCATGGGGCTCTTTCCTGGGGCCCCCTTGAGGCCTTCTCTGGGGCCCATTGAGGCGTCTCTGGGGCCCCTTGAGGCGTCTATGAGGCCCCCTTGGGGCCTTCTCTGGGGCCCCCTTGGGGGCCCCTTGGGGGCCCCTTGGGGGCCCCTTGGGGGCCCCTTGGGGGCCCCCTGGGGGCCCCCAGTGAGTTTTCTTTCTCTTTGAAGTATTTCGTTCAAAGGCTGGGGCTTGCGGGGTGTATAGACAGCTCGAAGCCCCCTAGAAGGATGTGTGGCGAACTGGGGAGGCGTGAGGGAGTCAGAATTGAGTCCGAAATGGTTTAAAATGTCTTTTTTAGTTTTTAATTTATTTAAATATTCAAAAAGATTCTTTTAGTCTTTAATTTGTCTTCTAATTTCTTATTTCGAAGTGTGCTGCCGCTGGTTGGCGCTGTGGAGCGGTGGGTGGTGCAATATTGGCTCGGGGTTTGAGAAGATTGGGGGCTTTTAGTTAGTTTTTAATTTGTTTTTGATTATTTTTAATTATTTTAATTGATTTAATTGTTTTAATTGAATTATATTTCGTTTATGGC